AAATTTTTGATTTGGAAATATATTTTATTTATACATAATATCTTGATATATTTAAAAGGAAAAAAATGCTTTACTATTATTTTTATTTAAAGGAATTGATATTCTTTATGAAATGTATTACGTTCTTCGTTTTTTTGTGATGAGATGATGAAATAATGCAATGTTCGCATTTTCCAGAAACAATTTTTAAACTAATGATTTTATTGTATTAAATATCATTTCCATGCAATGAGAACAGTATACGAATTTATAGTCATATATATTAATACAAATATATCAATTTATGACTTACATACGCAAGAAATAAATTAAGAGGATATATAGAGCTAAATATGTATAAGAAAATACATATATGACATTATAAATTATAACATATATTAATTTGTATTTCAAACAAAAATGCAAACAATATAAGTTTACCAAAAGTGTGTATAAAGAATTTATTAGGCAACTAAATTTTATCATTCAATGTTAATGTTAATAACAGAACTGATTATGTTAAATTCCTGTTAATTTTTGATACATTTTCTTTGTAATAAATATGCGTATTCGTTTATTTAAATTTTAATTATTAAACATTATTATAAATTATTTACATAAAATTTTTTATAAGTAATATTATTATGATAATCTAAAAATGGAGTAATTTGTGTCCTGTATTTCTAATCTGAGGTACAAGTAGTATTATATACAAACTCCAATAGAAAATTCAATTTTTTTCAATCATATTTGATTTCTATTATGTTGGTTAGATAGTTGAGAAATATATTAGAGAATTCCACCGATTTGTTGGATGATTTTTAAAGTTTTATTGAACTGCTGACTTAAAATACATGTATATATTAAGCATTAAGTATTAACATGCATATATTAACATATAAAGTTAATTTATTATGAAATCTAAAAATCATCCTAAGCTATAGTTAATGTTAAATAAGAACAAAATAGATTTTTATCGTTGTTATTGATTTTAAAATCATAAATAAAATTTCTTAACTTAGGAAAATATTTTTTAAAGTCTGTTTTTATAAAATTATAATACTTAAGATTTTCTATTTGCAATGTAATGCACACCACATTTTCATGGCTTAAAATTTAAGAAGAGATCATATTGTACACAGAGTTATAACTACATTTTTCCAAGTTAGGTCTATATCCTTCAATACAGGAAAGTCTTTATATAAAAGTCACACAAAGTAATTTGCTTTTATAGAATTTGTTTGTTACCATTATTGATTTTAGACCTAAGCGACTTTCTTATTAGAAACTGCTACTATAATAACAGACTTTGGTAGTCAATAACACTCTGGAAGATATTATTTCCAATAAAAATACAGTTGCATTTCAACAAATTGTTTAAGAGTCTTTTTTGATCTATTATCCTTTTTTCCTATTAATAAAGCTATTACGTTCCGTACTGATATATTATTGACGTAGCTCTTTTATTTGTGTTTTTATTATTCTTTTTTATATTTACACCGCTATTTTTAGATTTTTTAGGGCCTTAGCAGGAACAAAGAAATAAAGCAACAAATACCATAAAAAATACAATAAAAAAAGGTTTAAACGATTTGCTATAAAGTTTCATCTTCCATTCAAAACGTCCGACAATTTATTTGCTTTATTGAAGGCAGTGATTTGAATGAAAGCACCTATAAAATTGAGTTCCATAAAAAGCTGAAGGTTTTGTGAAGGCAATTGCTTGTTTCGAGTAAAAAAATATCTCAGTACCATTGAATGATGATGTTAAACGCATTGTATTGTTTAATTTTTTTTTTTAATTGTTGGTTTAAAATCGGATTTTCATGTTAGGTTTGTTTTCCAAAAGTGTAAATCAAAACTGTTAAGTGTAAATGAATGTAAGGTAATATTATCATATATTTTTTTAAATGAAAGTTTAGTCATATATTCATGTGTAATTGTTTCCCAAATTTAGAAATGGGCTAGCCATGCTTGTCGTAATATATATAAATTGATAAGACTGAATAATTATGTAAAATATAACAATTATTTTTAATGATGAATGATGTAGAGTAGGAAGACTAGGGCGAAATATACTTGTTTTTCAGCAAACTTATGCTCATATAATTTATATACAAATATTAAATTACAAAATTTATGCATTATTTTTATTAAAGTAATAAACAAACAGATGTATATTTCTTATTATTTAAAATCACTAAAATAAATATATTATTTTCGAATATCAAATATATGGACTTTAAATTTCTATCATATTACTTATTCCTTTTCATTGATAATTTGTTTTAGATATTTTAGGAGTAAAATTTTAAAGCTATTACATATCCGATTTAAATGGCAAAAATTTTCAAAATTTTTCTTAAAATATGTATTTCACAAAATGAAACTAAATTACTTCAAATGAAATGATTTTACTTATAATATTCTGTATACTTATTCATTCTGTATACTTATAATATTCAGTGTTCTTAACCCATTTGTATTTTAAATGAACCTGAAAGAATGATATATTACCAGAAATAATTCAACAATGTTACAGATGTTGTAGGAAGAATAACAATATTTGGAAAAATATTTTTAAAGAAAACATTTAGAAATTCTCTTTAATTTGTTATTAAAATATTCATACTTCTGTTTTGGTAGATTGAAAAATTTGTTGCTCTTCAAATATTTTGTTTGAAAGTCTTTCTTTCTAAAATAATTACATTTCTGACTTAAATATTTAAAACGTATTAAAATAAATATTACTATTTGTGATATTTAAAATGAATAAATATTATTATTTGTGAAAAAAATTCTGTAGTTATCTGCATATATGAAAATAATAATACTCATATATATTTTAGCATATATATTTGTTATAATAATTTTTTTAGGCATTATTAAAACAGGGAAAATAAATATTATTTTACTTTATCATATATTTATTTTAAAAATATTTAATATATATTTTAGAAATTAAATTTTATTGCAGATAAAATGAAAATTATTTCCAAGACCACTGATGATGGGTATTTGGCAATACTCGAAACAGCTGTATGGTCAGCCAAAAAATCAATTAATTAAAATACTATAAAAAGAATTTCTGTTGTTGTAGGTCACTACTGTTCGAAAAAACCTTTTTAAAATTAAAATATTTATTTTAACTTTTTCTAAAAAAAAATTAATAGAAATTATTTTTATTTTTACATTTTAATTTGAACTTTATTTTGGCAGGTGTTTAGTTATTAAACTGTCATCTGCAGATGTGTATGTCTGAAGGCATAAAATAAATTACTTTACGCTTAAATTTAATATACATACTTTAGATAATTGTCAACAAATTATTTTTGTTAAGTTTTTTTGGCTATATAAAGAACTTTAATAATTATTATACCTTTTAAAAGAATGTTTCATTAACCCTTAGACTTAATAAATGTCCTTAATATATTTCTCAAAATACAATTTTTATAAAATTTATTTATTTATTGTTTA